TGAAGGCGGTTGTGGCCGACGGTGTGAAAGCGGCTGGCGGCTGGTCGGTTAGCGGCTGGTGGCTGCCTTCCTTGACCTTCTGGATTGAGTTTACTTCAACAATTGATATGCCTCAATTAACAGAAAAAAACTAATTACTATAAGGAAATTATATGTGTATAAAGATACAAATTACTATTTATTATTATTATAATAGTATAATTATAAATTTGCTCTTAGAAAAAGGCAATGCACTAAAATTTAGGCTAAGATAATTGTCTTTTTATCATCATGATATAACTATTTTGTTTTATAATTTTATGAGGTTAAATTAATAATTTTATTTTGTTTAGTATAATAAAATTATTAATTTAATACTAGAATAAAATAATTTGATATCTACTACTCAAGGAAAATTTTGTATTTTTATTTTTTTTAAATAGTTTAATTATTTTGATGTCCTTGAAGACAAAACCAATTGAAAATTCAAAGGCTTTTTTTTAAAAACAAATTATTTTGCATTGTTTTTATTGTAATTCTCAAGGATGTTCAAATATATTTTTATAAATTAAATTTATTAAATATAATTAAAAAAAACTTGGTAGTACAGTGGTTGTCTAACTACTAAACTTCATCTTCCAAGACAATATTTAAAAAGCCTTAGCATCTCAAACCAAATAAGAAAGTGCATATGCCAAGATTCATGATGGTTTGTCATTAACAATTATTTCTTTCCCACTTCTTCTCTTTATTTCTATCTTGATTCTTGTATTAATTTTTTTAAAATTTAAGAACAACTCTTTAATTTTTTGATTCTTTATATTTTATCCATTTTATTTTTATTATGATATTTTTTATCTTGAATAATTTATTAAATTTGGTTTTAATCTTTTTGTTTTCTTTTTTTTTACTGGTAACTAATTTTTTAATTGATTTTATATTACGATTTCACTCTTATTTGCTTTTTGTATTTCCTATAAAATTTAATAAATTATAAAATAATTTTATTTTACAATTCTTCTCTCCTTTGTTTTTTTTCTATCAAATTTAATTCATATTCTTTTAATTACTAATTTCTTTTTGCTCTGAAAAGTTTTTAAAATTTATATTTTTATATTGGAGCATAATAAATTTTTTGATTGGATCCGAATCCAGGGTTGCACGAGTTATAAATTTTTTAAATTTGACCAGATTTAAGATATTAGTTTAGATTTACTTGGTTTTTACAAATATTTTTTAATTTTACCTCTAGATGTTTTTCATTTTTAAAATTTAATATTCATTCTTTTAATTACTATTTATTTTATTTGGCATCATTTGTTTTTTAAAATTGCATCCTCATTGAGTTTTTTCTATTAAATCTTATCCTCACTATTTTTTATTGAAGTGGTCAAGAAATTAGGTTTTTTTGATTGAATCCGGGTCAAAGATTTCATAAATTGTGATTTTTAGATATTAGAACACATTTAAAAAGTTTTTTGAGTTTGCGTGGTTTTTTTTTCTATATTGATTTTTTTTTATCCTTCTTCTTTTAGGCTTTTTGATTAAATCTGGGTAATAAATTTCACAGGTTTGATTTTTAGATATTAGAACAGGTTTAAAAGGTTTTCCAAATTTGCATGCTTTCTTTTTCCTTTTGTCTAAATTGATATTTTCTTATTTTTTTATCCTTTTTCTTTTGGGGTTTCTTTTGCTAGTTTTTGCTTTTTGATTCTATTGGATTAACCCTTAACAATTTCTTTCTATTTCATTCCATTATTTTTTTAATCTATAAATAATATTTTAAATTATAAATATTTTTCAATTTCATTTCTTATAATTTTTTAATCTCTAAAATTTGGTTTTTATTCTTTTCATTATAATTTATTTTGTTTAGGATCATTTTTAATTATTATTTTTTCAAATTTCATCCTCCTCAAGTTTTTTTCTATCAATTGTTTTTTCTCATTCTTTTTCTTCTTGTTTTTTTACAAGTTTTTTATTAATATTTTTATATAATTTTATTTTTTTTTATTAATATTTTTATATGATTTCATTCTTCAAAATTAAATATCTTGAAAGTTAAGTTTCTTGATCAAATATATGTCCAAAATTTTACAAATTGCAAGTTTTAGAGATTAGAGTAGGTTTAAGAGGTTCTTCCGGATTTATTTGGTTTCTTTTCCCTTTTTTTTGAGTTTATTTTTAAGCTATTTTTTGGGGTTTTTTTTCTTATATTTTGGATATGATTTTATTGGTTTAGCCATTTATAATTATTTTTTCAATTTCACCCCATATCATTTTTCAATCTATAAATAATTTATCAAATTACAAATGTTTTTTAATTGCATCTCCTATGATTTCTTAACTTTTTAAATTGGGTATCCATTTTTTTATTGCAATATATTTTGTTTGGGGTTATTTTTTTTTTCAAATTTCATCATCCTTAACTATTTTTCTCTCAAATTTTATCCTTTTGTTTTTGCTCTTGCAAATTTCTTTATTAATATTTTTCAACAATTTCACCATTTAAAATTAAATTGGTTAATAATTAAGTTTTTGAATCAAATTTAGATCTATAATTCAATAAGTTGCATGATCTTAAAATTAGATCAGGCTTATAAGGTTTGCCCTAAGTTTTTTTGAGTTTTTCCTCCCTTTTAAGCTGATTTGTTTTCCTTGAAGCTTTTACCTTTTTATTTTTTATGATTTTTCTAGTATTAGTTTAATATTGAGTTGTTTGATAATCTGAATAGATTTAGATATGATTTTTTTTTATTTTTTTGTTAATTTATTTATTATTGTTATTTTTTTATATTATATAAATTGTCACTTAAACCAATGATTCGAGGCTTAGATTCTTTTTAGTGTAGCACTTATTTTTATATAAAAAAAGTTTTCTTGGTTTTTACCGTGAATAACATATCTAGTGGAATTTAACACCTGTAAATTTGTATATAAAAGATAACTGCGTCCTAGTATGTGTTATCATATTATAGTATGTATTGTTTTTTTAAATTTTTTTATTTAAAAATTTTTTTATTTTATTTTTAACATCTAACATTAAAATCATAAAAAATACTAAAATATTAATTTAAGAACTTCTCAAACATAATATACTTTTAAAATGCATCTAAATCCAGTTCCAAATGCAAAAATAAACTATACCTTTGGACTCTGTCTGCTTTTTTTTTTCACCATTAACATGATCAAACTTGTGTAGTGAGACATGATTAGACTTGTAATTAAGTTGTAATCAACTAAAGTTTAAGCCTAATGAAAACCTAGAGGAAAGTTGAAGTTCCAAAACCACGTCCAACCAATAAGGAATAAAGCCAGACAGAAAGACCGGAGGCCTACGATGTAGCCAAGTTTGTAGGAAATTGGCTGGTTCACAATGCCAAAGACAGACAATGCAGTGATGCACTGACAAAACAACCCTCAAATGACTCTTTCCTAAAAAACATTACTTTGTTTGAATCCCAAAATCCATCCGAAACAGAATGCCATTCTCTATCTTCTCTTTCTATCTCCTTCCCTTCATTCAAAAATCAAGTTTTTGTCTCCCCTTGACCTCCCTTCTGTGGACATCTTTACACCACCACCACCACCACCACCACCACCACCACCACCACCACCACCACCACCACCACCACCACCACCACCACCACCACCACCACCACCACCACCACCACCACCACCACCACCACCACCACCACCACCACAATGCCATCCTCTCAAACCCCATAAAAGGTGTGATCCTTTTTTATTGTCTTCATAGCTTTGTGTGCTTATTTGTTTTGTTGGGGATATGCAAAATTTGTCTAGTTTGCTGTTTTTATTGCATATACAGAGACACATGCCACCACTTTTTACAAAGTTTCAAACTTTTTTGTATTGCAAAAGTTGATGCATAAAGATCCCATTAATTGCGCTTGTTAAATCTCTGCCTGTCCAAAAAGTTAGCTTCTGAGCATCTCTGTGTTTATACCATCATTGCATTCCTCGACTTAATGAGAGAAAATGATGTGTGGTTGAATATTATGAGGAGAGAATGGTTTGGTTGCAATCATGTCACTTTTTTTTTTCAATGCCTTCTCTTTTTTTGTCTCTTGGCCTCTTGCTTTTGGTTAAAAAGAGTAAAGAACTAAAGCTTTAATTTTTATGGTCTCCTCATGAGATTGAGAAAGAGTAGACAATGCTTTCCCTCTTGTTCTTCTCGTCACAGAGTAAAAATCCTCACTTCTGTTTGATATTTTAGAGACTTTAGGAAATGCCCATTTGGTAAAGATTTGTTTTTTTTTTTGTTTTTGGGTGGTATTTTGTAATGCCTGTTGCAGCTGATTGAAGAACTACTTTGTCATAATTGGAGTCTTTTTTTTTTTTTTATGCCATTGATTACTTCCTGCATATCCATTTTAGTCGCAAGACATTTTTTTTAGTCTTTTTTAGAATTCTTAATTGATATCAAGAGTCTACTAACAATGCGCCATATGCCTTTCGTTTGCATCTATAAGTGAATTAACTATTTGTAATTAGACTCTGAGTTCCTGTGTTGACATCAAGATAGCATGTGTCCTCTCAAGAATGTAGAATTTTGAATTTCAAAACCTTATTTTCGTGAGTTGAAGCTCTCTTTTATGTTTGTGAGCTTATCTTCACTTCGTAGCCTGTTTGAGGAGTGTCTCTATGCTCTGCATTGAATACATTTGTTTGATAATACCCGTCTCTTGAATTTGTGAAGAAAATCAGACAGTTAAATCCTGAACATAGAGAGTTTGATTTTGTTATTGTTTTGGAAACTCACTGATGTGTATGATCCATACCATATATTTGATACTGAAACGCATTTTCAATATGAAATTTAGGTTGATGAGGATGATGTTTATTGGAAACGAAAGAAGAGTAGTGAAGAGTTGGAATGGTCACATAATTCCACTCACGTTATTTCGCAGTTAACTCAATGTTTTGGTGAGTACAGTTTCTTTACTCTCTTCTGAATACTCACCGTTGTTGCTATATCTAAACAATTCGCTAGTTTTAGTTTGTGCTGTCATATGCCAGGTTAATTTTTATGTATGAACATTCACAACATTATTATTGTGCTGTATTTCAATTCAATTAATTTGTTATTCTCTGGGCTGATAATGATTACCTTTACATAGCTTAACAACTAGGAAGGGCTCTTTTCTCCAAAAATTACTGGCACTGCCTTGAATTCTCAATCTCACAGAGCACATTTGGCAATGTGGAGTTCAGCATGATGCAATATGCAAGAACAAAACTGGCACCATTCTCTTCTTCTGTCATATTACATTATGCTCCATAAATGTTTTATCAGACATCTTAGGTCTCTTAGCAAGCTGCTGAAAATATTTGACTACAATATCATAGTTTGTAGGTTAGTAGATAAATAATATTTTAATGCTTAAACCTTTTTGGATTAAAGAGTGTTCTGTTTTTTCATTGTCTAAGTTTCAGTTTTCTGGGAAAGGATAGGTGCCTTATCTAGCTTTCTTTCATTCATGTCAGAAGGCAATATCCATTTGCGTTTACCATGGCTAGCGGTTTTAGCATTCTTCATGATACAATCTCAACTTCATGATGTGAAAACATGTATTTTCTTTGCACTGAAGTTGCTTTGCATTTTGTTGTTGGAAGCATTATGTTAATCCGAATTACATTCCTTCTTTCATACTCATGTCCCCTATCTTAGAATCTAGGGACTAATACTACCATAGCTTTATAACATGGATGTATGATGTGTTATACAAGTCAGTGTCATATCTATAAGACTGCCCAACATTACCATATGATTCTTCCAGCTTGAAACATTTCATTGGATACTTTTTTGATTTTCGCTGATCAGTTCCTGATGGTTGTAGCTAATGCTATGGTTGGACCACGTTCATGGATAGCAGGGCTCTTTACTCGCTCACCATATAAACGCAACGACAAAATTCTTGACTTCTGCTTGACTCCTCATTTGGTAAGTAGAAGTATTAAGTAAAGAAATGAGCCTTTTCTCTCTAATCCTGTATAGAAGGATGGACACACACTTACACAACCCCCACATACTTCTAAGTTCTGTGTGTGTCAGCATGTTTATGTAGTCAAAATTGATTGTGGAATTCATGTAGTGGCACCAACTGTCGCAGTTAGGTGGTTCCTCAAAGTTACCAATAGTCCCAGCCATTGCCTTTTGCTCTAGGGCTTCAGTTCAGGGAATTTATTTTGCAATTTTCAAAATTTAAATTTGTGATTGTTGCAGGATGGTTATGCAATGATATTCTTAAATATGATTTTAAAATGCCATGCTCATCTTCGCTAAACTTGTAATTTATTCTTTAATTCTTACCAGGAACGAAAACTGCAAAAACTTCAAGAACGAATGAGAACACCTTTCGACGAGACACGCCCTGATCATCAAGTACTTTCTTGATATGATATGATTTCTGCCAAAACATTTTTCTTGAACTTATCTTTGACTTTGGTTTTGTCATACATAAGCTATTACTTGGTGATCATACACTATTATCTTTCATGCATGTCACCATCATTAATCTTTGATATTATAACTACAAGATCTCATTATCCTTTGTCATTGTCAGGAAGCTCTCAGATCATTGTGGAATGCAGCTTTTCCAGATATTCCTCTGAAAGGCTTGATCTCTGAGCAGTGGAAAGACATGGGGTGGCAAGGTGCTAATCCATCAACTGACTTCAGGTAAAGTTTTTTCAGTGGCATCTTTTCATGTCCTTTGCTGATAAGGAGTGAATTCTGTCATGTAGAAAGAACTGAATCAATATAGAGGTTTAATCTATAATTTCATTTAGAAATCCTCGAACTATTGTTCATGCCTCTCATCTTTTCCAACTTTTTCCTTAGGGGCTGTGGTTTCATTTCTCTTGAGAACTTGCTGTTTTTTTCAAGGACTTATCCGGTATGACTTTCAAGCTACTGCCAAAACTTTGGCAAACATTGCTTTATTTATTCCTATCAGAGCCTGTTCATGCTTCTCTTCGTTCCAGTCTCCCTAAAGTATGAATTTGCACAGAGTGAGCTGGGATTTTTACTGATTATGAAAATACAAAATGAAGGCATCTTTTCATAGGTTATTGTTCAAGCAGGGTGGGCAGCGAGCTACTTGGGAATACCCATTTGCTGTTGCTGGCATTAATGTTTCTTTTATGTTGATCCAGATGTTGGATTTACGGTCAGGTATGCAGAAATGTTCAGTTATCATTTGCAAATGTGATTTTTTTTCTTCAGTATTAACCAAAAACAGAAAAAGTAAAAACTGCTGCATAGGTTTTGACTATCAAGTGAAGGTAAAATATTTTATATTTATAAGTCATGCGAGAATTGACACATTTTTTACAGCTTTCGTGTAACCTTACTTTTCCCGAGCTTTGTTTCACTGTGGGATCTAGGAACACCTTTTCATTTCATTCTCTTCTAATCTCTTATCCCCCCCCCCCCCCTCCCCCCTTCTTCGC